ATATATTTAAACTTGCTGCGAAATCAGCTATGTAAAATATAAGAGACTCTTAGGAAACTAGGGAGGATATACCAGAAATACTATAATTGTCTCTGAAGTATTAAGTCCTTGCCTAAGAATCCGCTTTTATTGGTATAATGAAGCAAAAAGAGAAACATAGAGGAGAATTAAAGTTGGTTAGAATTCCAACTATTTCTGCATCAACTCATCCTCATAAGTCTTCAACAATTAATGGCTATTCTGTCGGTCAAAATGCTTTTTATAGTTCGTTAAAGAAATCAAGAACATCAAATATCGGTAATAATTAGTTAAGAACATTAATGAGAAATCCAGGATAGCTCATGAGTGCAATGAAATGTACTCTTTCTACAGTTGATACGAAAACCCTATAGAGATCTATTCAACCTAGATATACGAATAAGGAAGGGGCGATAATGTAATCACATCACGCTTTAGATTCTGATAGTTATGCTTTGCAGAGGTGCGCAACAGGTAGTCTAAAATAATCATTGTCAAGCTTATCCTCAATAAATAGCTAGAAAAATACAAGTTCTAACTTTTAGAATGTTCACAAGAATGAATTGAAGGAGGAAATGAAATAAAAAAGCAGTGCAGCCATCTCTAGACCTTAATCAGCAGCTATAAGCTAACAGCTTAAGAAAAAAGCATCAAAACTAGATAGTTTAATTAATGATTAATCTTCAGTTGGAAATTGGAACTCAGCCAAACTTATTTTCAGCTTCCTTAATGAGAATTTATTTGCTGAAGATCTTGAAAGAGATATTACATAAATGATCAAAGATAAAAATCTTTAGAAATAAGTGCTATTGACTATTTTGGCATTGTTTATTTTGAAAGAAATATTTGATGATAAAGAAGATGAATGGGTAATGATTGCAAAGAAAGCTAAAACTTATTTAAGAGAGTAAGGTATTGAAAAAGTAGACTAGTTCTATAAAAAATATAATGTTTCCATTAAGGAGTGAACGGATTTATTGAAGCTATAATATAATAGTTAGTTTTTCCTCACTGATATTAAGTTTATTATTGATTTATTGATTTTAAAGGTCAAATTGATTAGATTCAAAATAATAAATTCCTTCTATTTAAAAGATTTTGATTCTTGGGGTTTTGGGGTTTTGGGGTTTTGGGGTTTTGGGG